CTCTCTCTCTCTCTCTCTCTCTCTCTCTCTCTCTCTCTCTCTCTCTCTCTCTCTCTCTCTCTCTCTCTCTCTGTGTGTGTGTGTGTGTGTGTACCGGCGCCCTCGCGGTAAGTCGATGGGCCTCGCTCCACTGCACAACGCTCTACAATGTCTACATGCATTTGGTCGCCCTCTGGACCAAGTGCATTCGGGCGAGTCCAACATTTCGAATGCATCAGTACCAGGAAAGAGCCCAAATGCACGGAGAGTGTTGCGTAGTGGAGCGAAGCCCCAATAACTTACTGTCAACAAGCAAAGATCCTGATTTAGAATGCTGCTTGGATAAGATAAACATACAATCATGTTCGAGGCTACCCCCTTGAAACAAAAAACAAAAAAAAAACAAAAAAACAAAGACCGGTAGTACAAGCCAAGCCGCAAGTCCAAAGTCAAAAGAAGTGAGTTCGCGTCAAAGAGAACCCGCAGGACAAGAAGAGCTTATTTCCCTGATCCGACACGAAACTAGGCTGTGACTTGTACTGACCCTTCAACGCATTTTTCCACCCGAACCCATTTTCCACCCAATCCCACCACGCGGCTCTCTAGAAAGAGAGAAAAAGTAGTATCTAAAAATTCTTTCCGCAATGTCAGTGACATACGGGCCTGCATGATGCACACATACACACACACACACACACACACACACACACACACACACACACACACACACACACACGCACGCACACACACAAAAAAAAAAAAAAAAACGAAACTAATCATCCTGTAGAGGACCCAATCATCCGGTAGGGGATAAGCCATGGTCACATCTTTGATGAGATTATGATCGATTGGGAACTCGGCAATTCCCCTAATCTCATCATTTGATCAGAATCTGATCATTCCGTACAATACGCCACGGCCATGCTGCAGATAGAACCGCTATCAAAGAGGGGGACCATAATCTATAATAAAAACATAAGATCCAAATCGGATCAGAATCTAATCCCAATCTCATCATTCCGTACAATAAGCCGTAGTGATACTGCAGATCTATGTCCTATCAAATAGGGGGATCGTAATCTGATCAGGATCTGAACATAAACTGATCAGTCTTTCTAATCGGGCGGTGGGAGGGAGCAATCGGTGGACGGTGACGAGCAAGAAGAAGTGGTACGTAGTGCAGTAGTGCTTTTTAATCGTAAAACGATTCTCAACCAGGAACCAATCAAATAGAATAAATGAACAATATCATTATCGTCTTCTGATAGCGTACCATCACGATAAATTGGAGCCATTTGGCCTTCAAAGGTATATTGATGTTTTTTTTTTTTTTTAATTTTATTTTATTTAAGGTATATTGATGTATTAGATCCTTGCCGCTCCCCTTACTAAATACTCTTATTCTACTTTCATCTGGAGCTGCTGTAACTTGGGCTCATCACGCTATATTAGCTGGATTAAAACAACACAAGCCCTTTATATATGGCTTATTAGCCACAATTCTTCTGGCAAGAAGGGGATAAGAAGTGCAGTGCTTTTTAATCGTACAGATTCTCAACAAGGAACCAAAACAGAAAGAAGAAAGAAATGAAGAATATCATTATCAACTGATAGCGTACGACCACCGTACACCGCAAGTCGATCAGTCAAGAGCTTCCATCTCATTGAAGCGCGCCCGCGCCAGGGGCAATGGGGATTTACTGAGAGAGCCATATACTGGTTCCAACGCGCGACGAAGTTAACCGACTTCGGGGGCAAGGTGCAACTTCGGCCGATCCTGCATTTCTGGTCATTGATGATATTCAAATCCACGGTTTAGAACGAGGAACTCGGACAAGAGGGGAACTCGGACAAGAGGGGTCCTCACCCTAATCAGATTTGAAAGGAAGGGTCATGTAGTTAATACAGTAATAGGTTGCAGTGCAAATTGATTTGGATACCAATGCAAGGGGAGGTGGCTGTTGGAAAAGCAGGGAAACAACAAACTCATAATTCATCGAGTCAAAAAGGGGGGAAATGGCTTGAAAGGAATTTTTCTCCCACCCCGCCGTCTCCGTCCCCCCTCCTCCCATACACAGAATATATGGAGTAAATACTGTATTAGAAGCAGGTGCTGAGAAGAACTGAAATCAGAGAGAATAATGGTTTATATATGGCCCGTAATTGTTGTCAATAGGAGAACCTTCGTGACTGCCTCTCAATGGGTGTTGTAGTGTATGTGGAGGGGGGAGGGGAGGAGGGGGGGGAGCAGACTGCGGGGTGTGCTGGGTTGGTAAAGGAGGAGGGGGGGGGGGGGGG